TAGGTGAAGTATTGTGTTCTACAGTACTTCACTTATACCTTATCATCATCAAAAGTTCACCACACAGTCACAGTTGTTCAGTAGTATTTGAATTTTTATAATTATACATATCATATTTACCTAACACTTGGGGTATGTGCACATATGACCAAGTCGCATCAAAATAAAATATTCAAAAAATCATATAAAAAATGATAAAATTACCCGTGAAACTGTTTAGGAGTAGTTTGCATAATTTCTATCATTAAACTTATTTGTTTTATATTTTATTCATGTGCATCTCACTAAGTCGCACACACCTACAAATTTCCAGATCATTATGATTTGTAAAAAAATATTAAAATTCAAATATTATCAGAGATCTGTGACCATTCGATAAACTTTGAACGGTGATAAAGCCGTCGGTGAAGTACTGTAGAACTTTACCTATAGGTGTTTTGTAGCATTTTCCATATATATAGAAAAACACTATAAAATACCTAATGGTGAAGTTCTACAGTACATCACCTACACCTCATCACCATCCAAAGTTTATCGTGTATACATATGGCAAAGTCATACCAAAATAGAATATTAAAAAACTAATAGTTATAAGAAAAAGCTGGGATTAGCCCAGTAGCTCAAATGAACATATGAGCTCAATGGTTCAGATTGAGCCTGGGCCGATCAGACGATCATAGATGTCTGATAGTGTTTGAACTTTATTTATTTTTCTATAAATCCAAATCACTTGAAATTTTAGGCGTATGTTCATAAAAAATAGGTGAATCTTTGAAAAGCATCAAAAAAATATTTTACGTGAATTAACTTGACCAAAATATCCCTAAAATATTTTGTATGGTATTTTGGTCAAATTTATTTTTTGTGAATAATTTTTTTTATGTTTTTATTAGGCGCGTCTTGATGAGAAGAACACGTACCTAAAATTTCAAGTGATTTGGAGTTGTAAAAAATAAACAAAATACAAGAACTACCGGACATCCGTGATCATCAAATCAGCCCATATTCAATCTGGACCATTGA